AGACTGGCTTTGAACTCAAGATCCTCTTATCTCAGCCTCCCAAACTGCTGGGACTACAGGCATGTGCCACTGTGCTGAATTATATATACTGTTTTAAAGCAAGAACAACACAAGACATTGATGGATTTATGCATATGTTATGAGTGTAAAAACCTGCAAAGGAATGATAAATTCAGTGTGGTGATTTCTAGTGAGAAAGAGAGATGGAAAGTGGGGAAGAAATACAAGGAGTTCTATCTGCATCTTCTATATATATAATAGGGCCCTTTATTATTTGTAATGTAATTCTGTGTACTTTCAGTGTAAATGAAATAGATTGTAATAAAGAGGATTTAAAAGGAAAACAGAGTTATTTGTATGGTCATAAACCTTCAACCAAAAACCAGAATGGCAAAACTTTTGTAGTGGATGGGAGAGAAGGAAGTTTCAGACAGATTTTGTTACTAATGAACAGATTTCAAGGAAAAGACGGCTGTCGTCTTTTCCTTGGGATCAATATACATCTTGGTTTGCTCACAGACAGTCCCAATTTATTCCTGTTGCCTGCTGTGGTTGTTAATAGTTTCCCCTTTCACTTTCAAAAGTGCCCGAGTTTGCAAGATCAAGGATGAGTTTCCCCAGCCATCACGCACTTTCTTGTGCATAATGAGGCAACCTATGGGTACGGATACAGGGCTTGATCTGAGGAAGCTAGGGGGCTCATTAGAGGAGTGAAGAGCTAGACATGGGAGAAATTCAAAAGAGCAGCAATACTACCATTAAGTGAATGCCTTAACTTAATGATTTTCTAGCCTTATATGCAGCTTGCAGTCAGTCCCTTCTCTTGACTGGGTCAGAGTGGATGGGTATCTGCTACTGAGATTAAAAAACAAAGGTTGGGATCCAGGATTTGGAGCATGCTTTCCAGCATCCCTTTTAGCAGCTTGACAATGAAATGTCTATGTTAGTGAGGAATGCTGGATTAGTGACCTGGCCCAAACTCTCATGTGAAACTATAGCTCTGGTTATTGACTAAACTGGATGCCAGAAAGTTCCTACTCTTTGGATAAGGCATGCCAAAATGCATGTCCCTTCCTGAGACCTCATGTTGGTTTTTACTGGGTGTTTTAGTTAGCTTTTTTGTTGCTGTAACTAAAAGACCCAACAAGAACAATTGTAGAGGAGGAAAGGTTTATTTAGGGCTCATAGTTTCAGAGGTCTCAGTCCATAGAAGGCAGGCTCCATTCCTTGGGCCCAAGGTGAGGCATAACATCATGGTGGAAGAGTATGGCAGCGGGAGCCAGCTCACATGATGAACAGAAAGCAGAAAGAGACAGAGACAGAGACAAGAGACAGAGAGAGACCCCACTCTCCAGAAACAAAGTATATCCCCTGTAGCCACGCCCCTAATGAACTACTTACTTCCAGCCACACCCCACCTGCCACCAGTTACCACTCAGTTAATCTCATCAGAGTTTAATTCATTGATCTGTTTAAGACTATTAAAACCCAATCATTTCTCCTCTGAACTTTTTTGCATTTCCTCATACATGATATTTTGGGAGACAACCCATATCCAAACCATAACACTGGTTTTCTTCCTAAGAGGGTGGACAGAAAATTAGAGAAAACGATCTCAGTCTGCAGTAAAATATATTAAGAAATACTACAGGATGATTTTTTGTGTGTGTGCTGGGGACTGAGCCCAAGGGTACTTTACCACTGAACTACATCCCCAACCCTTTTAATCTTTTAAGACAGACTCTTGCTAAATTGCCCAAACTGTCCTTGAACTTTCAATCCTCTTGCCTCAGCTCCTGAGCCTTTGGGATCACAAGCATGTGCTAACCATGACTGGTAAGAAATTCTAAATAATATTTTTTTGGTTGGGTTTTAAGTTGTTATTTTGTTTTTTATTTTTTTTTCCTCCTTGAAATGCATCCTTGATTTGGGGCCAGGGTTGCTGGATTTACTGTGGCATGTAATTGGGAATGTGACTCTGAGGCCGTGTGCAATAAAGGGTGCAGGTCACTGGGCACCAGCTGAGTCTGGGCAATGCCTCTTCAGTTTGAATTAATCCATTGGCATTGGATTCTTGAGGAACAATAATTGGATAAAATACACAGGCTCTTCGATATTGCTCACATCTCATTGTCTGGGAAACTAAGTGCGACATTAGTGTAACTGTTGATTTTAGAGATTTGATCCAGTTGGATCTTCTCATTTCCTTGTTTGGCTCTTTTTTTTATCTTTTGAGGACTGGAAGAATATTAAACCATAAGTACCTTCATATCTCAAAGGCCTCTGAAAAAACTGGGGTCAGGCCAACAAATTTCACAAAATTATATCTCTTGTCATGTCCTAATAGAATCCTTTTGTCACTGGCCTGATACAAGGTGATTATCTTACAGGGGTGGTTTTCAACTTTCATTGACTATCAGAACCACCTGGAGAGGGCCTTTTAAATGACATTAATGTCCACCCTCACCCAGAACAATGAAAAGATAATGTATGGAGAGGCGCTGTAGACAGGAGGGGATTTGTAATCATTTTTACAAGAGTTCCTAGATGTAAAGTGACTGACTCTTCAGTATGCCTGGCACTGAGGCATGTCAGTAGTAAAACTAGGGAAGTCCTGAGCAAGTCAGGATTACCCTCAGTGGGCAAGAATCCCCGAAAGTTGTTTGCTGGTGTTCTGTCCTACTGCACCTGGAAGGAGCAAACCACGTGCTATCAAAACCTTTCCAGTGGTTCTCACATATGGTATTCAAAACCCTTGTGGATAGAAAAGAGAATTGTTACCTGGAACTTTCTAATGCTCTGGACTATAACTTAACAGAAGGATGTATGTAAGATGTTAGAAGAGGTAATAATCCTAACCCAACAAGATGGGGTCAAGATGAGCCAGACTAGATACTAAACTCAGAGGGAAAACTCATGCAGTAGTTAGTTCATACCTACCCTGAGGTGCAGCCCTCTGCCATTTAGAATGGAGACTCTGTGATGGTTTGACAGGCACATGATCTCTCGTGACTTGAGAGTATTTTCCTAATATTGGTATTTTCTGGGCATTGCAAAAGAAATCTCCTTGTTATGGATAAGTTAGAATCTCCTGTATCTACCTGGTGGAATTCCTAGTGTTGACCCAGTCCCCTAGTGTGCTGGGGACTGAACTATATCCCTAGCCCTTTTAATCGTTTGAGACAGAGTTTTGATAAATTGCCCAAACTGTCCTTGAACTTGCAATCCTCCTGCCTCAGCTCCTGAGCCCCCTAGTTTGTATGACCCAAAGTGCCAAAATTAATCCCCCGAGGGTGAACAGATATAAATCAGGGCAAAGGTTACATTTGTAGACACAGTTCCATTTTTCCTAAAAATGCCTCTTTGACTTGTTAAGGGATCTGAGTTGTTACTATGATGGAAAAGAACCGAACTAGGGGAAAAAATCATGTAAGAATAAACTACATGAAGTTTTATTTAAATTTCCTTTGAACTGGATTTGAGATGCCACGTTGCCTGTTCCCATAATACAGATACTAATAAAGCATCCTGGCATTCAGAAAATATGAGCTATCTCCACCTTCCATCTGGAAGGGTCTGTATTTGGAAGCCTGCACTCCTGGAAAGCAAAAAGCAACATTTCTTGGGTTTGTGTCACATATTACCCTGTTTTTGTTCCTCTGTGCATTAACTCATTTGACCTTCTAGTATAATAGCCTTATAAAGGGTTATCATCTCATTTTACAGCAAGAGGCTGAAGCACAGAGGAAAAAAAAACAAAATTGTCCAGAGCTGCACAGTCAAGAAGTGGAGAAGTCCAAGTTCATAATTCTGGCTGCTCTTGACTTCTGAGCTTTACTGTTTACTGTCTCCTGCTAGTCTGCAGAGCCCTACCTCAACCTCAGACATAGAACATAGACCTGCCAACAGAGAGTGAAGGGAGGAGGCACCGTGACCAGTGTAGTCAATCTAATAAAAGCTTGAAATAATGAGAATGGGGTGGCAAGGAGGGAAGTCAGCTGAGAGAGTCTAGTCAGTCATGGATAAAAAGATTATGGGAGAGCACTGGTGAGCAGGGGTTTGTAGAAGCACCAGTCTGCACACTTGGGGAACTTTTGTTTCAGTTAGCAAAAGGAACAAAGAGGATGTTGAGTTTCTCCAGACCAGTGCATAGCCAGAGAGCAGACACCTAAGACAGAGCTCTTTCACAAGATGGAGAATAGTTTTGAAGTAGCAACAAGGAACTTGGTGAAAGAAGACCCCACCAGGTCCTAAGTGTTGTGTCACTTGGAGGAAGGAGGAGCCCAGAGGGAGAAATGGCACTTTGCAAGATGTCGGATTTCCCTTATAACAGGATGTGGAGGAAACATTCAGGGAAAGGGGGGAATGATTAGTGTTTTTTTCTTATAACAGGGCTTCCAAGGGGCTTGGTAGAAAGCTTCTGTCTTAGCCCGTTTGTATATCCTAAGAGAATCCCCAAGACTGGTAATTTACAAAGAACTGAAACATTTTCCCACAGTTCTGGAGGTTAGGAAGTCCGAGATCAAGGTGCCAGCAGGTTCTGTCCATTGTCTGGTAAGGACTGCATCATCTGGAGGGCTGTGTCCTCATCTGGTGGACTGCAGAAGGGGAAGCCAGCCAAAGTCTCACTGAAGCCTCTTTTATAATGGCCTTAATCCCATAAATGAAGGAGAGTCTCTCATGGCCTCTTATTGGGTCCATCTCCTAATACCACATGGCAATACCTGGAATTTGAAAGTGCCCCATTCAAAGCACAGCACCTTGGAAGTAGAAGAAGAAAGACATTAGAGAGCATGTGGGAGATTGAGAGGCCAGGGAGAAGCCACCAGAAAGCTTGCATTATGAGCATCCCTGTGAGACTCTAGGAACAGGTACTCCCTGGCTGGTTCAGGCAGAGTTCAGGGGTGCTACAATTAGGTCTTTGCATGCCCAGGCAAGGACTGGTTAGGGCCAAGGGTGTCGCGACCCCTTGCCCGCAAGGAAGACGCAACTCAGGAATCTTCTTTCAGCAGTTTATTCAGGCCCTTGATATTTCTTCTTCTCCTTCTCGGATGCCCCTCCCAGCCTTAATAAAGCATCTCAAGCCCCAATGCAAAGCTGCCGCGTGGAGCTTTCTCACAGGGTGGTGTACAGGGTGGTGAAAAATCATGTGCCAACTCTCCCAGATAAGGAGTTGTTTGTCACAGACCACAGCGGAGCCAGCGTCATCTTGTAATGGCGACCATAATCTGCAGAAATGGCAGAAGCGGCTCACCACAGTTCCCCCTTTTCTGTTTTCTTAAAACAATACAGGCGAGAGTAGAGGTCCTATCCCACTGTGCAGAAGTGGCTGCATAGTATGGCTCAGTCCTAAGGAGGGCCCTTCCCCAGATCTGAGGCCATATCAGCCGACGCCTTTTTTCGTGGGGCGGGGCGTGGACGCGTCTAACCCGCATGCAATAGGACATGCTCTCCTTGAGGTCCACGTCAAGGATCACTCAAGTGCAGTGCCTTGCCTCGCATCCTGTATCGTGACGATGGTGGACGAAGGGGGATAGCTGAGGCTGAACTGTGGCTGTTTATAACGACAAACAAGTTGACAGCACCCTGAAAGAAAGGCACGGACTTTCAGGCGATAGAAAAGTACTAGTGTGGAAACCCATCTGCGTGCAATGGCAGTAAGACCAGCAGAGTGCAAGGGCTTTCCAACACTAAGAGAATAACAAGGAAAGTCATGTCGATCCCAGTGCAATGTTATAATAACTTGGGGTGTAACGACCATGACAAAGGTTTACTGTTTAAGATGCGCAAGCCAGACTTGAGGCGAGTTGCCATTTTCTAAAGCTGCAAGAGCTTGTATGATCATAGCCTTATCGTGAGCACTGCGGGCCTTAAGGCGACAGAGAAACCACAAACAGAGGAACATACCGAAGCAACACATTGCACCAAAAATGCCTACCCCCACCCACTCTTTGAAGAAGGAAAAAGCAGAAGATATCCAATCGGTGAATTGACCCAAAGTCACGGGATCGACACGGGTACTGTTCAAGACAGCTATCTGGGTTAGTTGAGACTGGATCATGTTTTCTGCTTCCATGGACCAGGTTCCGGATGGATACTCCCCGATGATGTGGGAGGCATTTCTGGAATCATAAAATCTGACAGAGGTTATACATAAATGTGCACGTTGATCAACACAACCCAAATGTACTAGGTCAGACAATTCCTCAACTTGAGCTTGAAGCAGATCTATCCTTTGATTAGCAGCTAGAATCCCAGATAAAATGTGTTGATTAATTCTACTTTGAGATTCAAGTATGGTGGATGTTTGTTGAATAACCTGATTAATAGTGGCAGCAGTTTGTACCAGGCTGGCCATGACTACTCCAGCTGTAACTGCTGCAGCAGCAGACACTGCCACAGCTGTCACTATAGCTGCCGTAATTCCAAAATCTCTACGGGCTCTAATCAGTTCAACAATAGGAAATGACTCTGGATCTGCAGTAACCGGGATCGGGACAAAAGTTGGAATTTTCATAACCACTGCCATAGGCCAGGATCCATTCCAACACTCAGAGAAGTAACAGGTAATATTAGAACAATTAAGCATCCCCTGTAATGTAACATTAGCCAAAAGAAACAGGAACGGAGATTGGAGACAGACTGCTGCGGAGGGTAATGTAGCATTAGATAATTGTGAATTATTTGCAGAAATTTTAAGCCTCCTACCTCGCTCCGAGTCTTGGGTACTGCCAGAAACATTAAACAGCCAACTTTGGACTCCTAATATTTCCCTGGGGAAACACAAGCGCGGACTAGACTAGCCCAATCTGAGGGAGTCATGCAAAATCTAGTAAGTCCCTCCACCTGAGTGAGAGTGAAAGCGGCATCTATGCCATAAGTGCGGACAGATTCTGCCAAGGTTTTAATTATCTTAAAGTCTAAAGGCTCATGATATCTTCCCCTGTTATTGTCCTGAAATACAGGGTATGCAAGTCCCATATCTGTATTAACTGTCCTCCAAACTTGTGCATGAAAAGATCTCCCGGAACCTTGGCTCCCCCCACATACGGAGGTGGGGCAATCGGCACCATATCTTCTTCTAGATATTCTACCTCCTCCTCCTCAGAGTTTTGTTGACCGATGTTAACTCCCTTCCCCTTCTTACAGTAGGCCTGCGTGCCCTGTGTCTCCTTTTTCTTCTTTTTCATTTTTATCTTATGTAGTTGTTGTAACAATATATCAAGGTCCTCAGAACTCTCTGAGTCGCTTGTGTTCTCAGGCGTTTTTAATTCGGTCAAGTCTGGGTAGAGCCTTCTCCTATTTTTATCTTCAGGCTCTTTTGCCTTCTCACTACTGTTACTTTTAATACTCTCTGCCACTTCACTACATGATCCTTCAGATTTTTCCTCATGCAGCTGCTCAAGAATAGCTTGACCCTCACTCACAGCTTCCTGGCATTTACCATCTGTTATACATCCTCTAACTAACTTCCAAAGTGGTATAATGCCACCCTGCAAGGTACCTTGCTCATGAGCGAAATCTAGATCTTTCCCTAATTTGTCCCAGCTGGGAACCGTAAGACTCCCTGAAAAAGCAAACCAAGGAGCCACTATATCAGCTTCTCTTAAAAACATCTGCAAAGTACTCTGCTTTATCTTAAGTCCTTTTGAATGTAACAACCCATCTAGGGCCAACAAAATTGGGCTTGAAGAAGCAACGCCCATAATGTTTTTAGAGCTATAAAGAAAGTGAAAGTACAAAAGTCCCCGCTCTCTTCCTTTTACAGGGGAGCGTTCCATTCTATGAATTCCCCGCTCTCTTCCTTTTACAGGGGAGCGTCCCTGTCGTCACAACAACAAAAGAAGCACAAAAAACAAAAGCGAAATGACACAACAACAGAAACACAGAAAACAAAAGCGAAAGTACACAGTGCAGCTGCAATAAAATGTAATGCTCTCTCTTTCTTTACAGAGGAGCTGCCCCGCTTTGGTCACGGATCCCACTTACCTGGGACTAACCCCGCTTTGATCGCAGATCCCACTTACCTGGGACTAACCGGTGCACCACCCCTGACTGCTGAAAGTTCTGGTTCCCGGGTTTCGGCACCACTTGTCGCGACCCCTTGCCCGCAAGGAAGACGCAACTCAGGAATCTTCTTTCAGCAGTTTATTCAGGCCCTTGATATTTCTTCTTCTCCTTCTCGGATGCCCCTCCCAGCCTTAATAAAGCATCTCAAGCCCCAATGCAAAGCTGCCGCGTGGAGCTTTCTCACAGGGTGGTGTACGGGGTGGTGAAAAATCATGTGCCAACTCTCCCAGATAAGGAGTTGTTTGTCACAGACCACAGTGGAGCCAGCGTCATCTTGTAATGGCGACCATAATCTGCAGAAACGGCAGAAGCGGCTCACCACACAAGGGAAGTGACTCTATCCTTCATTTCCAACGTGTGTTCTTTTCCAGGGGGATTGAAGGAGAGACAAGGAATTTGTGTGGGGTAGAGAAAGCCTGGAGAAAATGGTGCCTTCAGGCCACCCATCCACACACCTCAAGTTTCAAAAAAATGGGAGCAAGAGGTGAAATAGGTTGTCTTTGTCCCTACTGTCATTCTTGTGAAGACAGAAAGCAAAAGATTTGAACCAGAAACTGGTATGAACCTTGGGCCTCCCCATAAAGTATGGTGCAACCCTCTTCCTTGATCTCTAGAGGCCTGTCTGATATCCAGATATTTATGCCGGCAGGAGTGGGGGGTGTGCTCCAGGTGTTGGCTAATTCCTTGGCACAGGCGTTTCTGTGGTGGTTTAAGGCAAAAGGCAGCCAAAGCCTTTTTCCCTTTTAATAAAAGACAGAGTATGTGCTTTTGTTTTACTTTTTAACTGTTTCACAACTCAATATATTTTTTTTTTTACCTGAACATGAAACCTGACACCATTCATCAATATTTTCCTCCCAAGCTTCCCTCAGCAGGAGCCCAGGTATGGTTTGTTGAAGGGAAGTTTCTCCATGTGTGGTCTGAGGACCACCCACAGGATGGAGACCCTGCCCCATGCCTCATGTTTCCCGACCTCCCTGAAGTGCTCCCGGACACATTCTAGTTTGAGAATCACTTCTGGAATGTCCTGTCCCCTCTCATTCTTCATTGATTGCTCCTTATTTCCTCCGTGATCTTCAGTCATTCACTTTCAAAACCCTTGAGAAAGTAAGGTCTACAAGAACAAAGGAATTTGTCTGTTTTCCTGGATGTATGGTAGTTGCTTAATAGATATTTGTTAAGTAAATAAAATACTTTTTTGGATGCTTACTCTGTGGACTACATGCTGGGGATGCTGCAGCAAAACAGGCAGACACCAGGGGGCCCTCTGGGTATACGGCTTCTGGTACTTGGCAGGCAGGTTGTCAGATTACACAAGCAATTATGACAAAGTATCATGAGAAAATGTGGTGAGAATGATATCAGGATTTGTGGGTGTGACTCAGGAGATCCCTGAAGAAAGGGAGAATTCAGACACCCCTGTCTTTATTGCTCAGGTGCAGATTACTCAGGTGTAGCTCTTTACCCCTACTACAGACATGTGGGAGCCCCCAGTCTCTCAGAGTACAGGAAGGTGAAAGGCAGGCTGAGATCCACTCTTGGGATCGAAGGGGGACAAAATGGTATATAGAAGAGCAATAGACTGCCCATGGAACAGGGAGGTGAGGGTGGAAGTCTGGAATGATTCATGTTTCATCTTAGCACAGGACAAAAATCTTTCACAGTAGGTATAGCCTTTTCCAGTATGTGCAGTAAAAGCCAGAAAGCATGACAAAAGAGGTGTGTACTGAGGTTTACACACCATGGTGCACAGCAGCTATACCAGTGGAAAGAAGACAGACAGACAGTGGGTGAAAAATGTGGCAGCCAGAAATGAGTCAGCTTCAGAAGGAGAAAGAGACCCAGACAGCAGGGTTTGTGTGGCCCAGACACCCCCACCCATCACATTCCCCTTTGAACATATGTTTACAACTACCCTACCAGTGTGGTTCCCCATTTCTTTCTATGGACAGATTCAGTTCTCTTTATTTTTGAATTAAGAAGAAAAGTTGGATTTAATCCTGCTGATTTCCTTCTTTGGACTGCTGGATAACAAAAGTCTCCTCTGTTTTTCTCCATGGCTACTAGGGAGCTAAAGTCGATACCCAGTTAAAAGAACAAGATTTTCCTAGGCATTGAGTCAGTTTGTTTCCTATAACCTTCTTGGTTTAAAAAAAAAGGGAAGAAAAAGAAAAAAGAAAAGAAAAAAAATCTATTTTAATAGCCGCAGTGCAATTGTTTTTATTCTTGAGAACTGCCATAAATTTGAGGGAAGTTTTAAACAGATATAAATTATTATTAAAAAAAACAACCACGTGTCCTCTTTCTCCCACCAATCAATCCTTTGACTCTCCCCCTTTCTGCAGTCCCAATGCCAGAGAGTGGCCTTTCCCCATCCTCCATGATAATCTTTGTTGCTATCCACTGTGGTCACCAACACTCCTATGCAGCCTCTCCATCCCCTTCATCTTCTCCTTGATTTCCACTTGCTAGCCTGCTCCTGCCCTGACCCCTAAAGCTTCATGTTCATTATTCTTCCCTAACTCTGATGTCTCCCAGATCTTAGCATGTCACCATAGCATGTACTTCACCTGAGTAGAATTAGTGTTCCTTTTTTCCCACAACCAATTCCCCAGGAAAGTTGAACATTTGGTTGGTGGGGAACATAGCTCAGAGATTCTGACCCTGCCCCCAAATCTTGAGTACTGAAATCAACTTAGCCAAGGTCTTCCCCTTTGTCTTATTTCTTTTCTGCTCCTTGGTAAAGGCATGCTCACTCATTCACAGCTGTCTCCCAAGCCCAGCATCGCTCATCCTGCTGTTTGACACTTGTGAGTCCCAAACCCTTTGAATCTTAAATTAGTTGTCACCGCAATGTTATGATTCATTGCTCTCACTCTCTCTCAAGATTGTGGCTGTTTCTTTTAAGCAGCTCTTCCATCATGGTGGAAGAGCCAGCTTAGAACACACACAGATGTTGTCCCAAAGCCTTTGCTCTGTGGGTGGTCCCAGCATCTTGTTCCAAATCCAGCCTCTGACCAAGGGAGGAAAGGGGAGGCAGGCTTGTTCCTCTGCTCCTAAAACTTAGTTTTCAATGATTGTCAGTACTTCTACACACAGGTTATAGGGATTCTGCCCTCCTTTCCCCAAACTAAAAGACAGTTCTGGTTTTGTTGATGTCATTGTTTTCCTTTTAAAAACCCTGAGAGACATGTGACTGTCTGTACGCTTGTGATATCTCTGAGTTCTCCAGAAGCAAAGAGGAACTTTAGCTTAGCCTGGTTTATCTAACACACAGCATAAGAGCCATTCATTCGATCCTTCTATAAACGTTTGCTGAGGAAGCTTTGTTCTGGAGCTCGGAATACAACAGTGAATCCCTTGTGGAGCTTACATGCCAGCAAAAGGAGACAGACAATAAAACATGCATACATGATGTAATGTTGGATCATGCGATGTGTTTTGGAGAAAAACTTTTGGAGAAAATAATCTGGGATAAAATGACCAGGAAAGCCCCCTCCAAGGAGACTCAAATGAAAT